GAATTCTGGGTGAAGAAATCGTGAAAGCGATCCGGTTTCCATCGATGTCACAGAAGGAGTTTCTCTCTGTTGTATTTGATTCTTACATTCTTACCATTCAAGAGGTTGGCGACCTGATGAAACACTTCAATGGTATGCTAACATCTCCCCTACCATTTATTGAAGCCAAAAGGATTACGAATTTCACATGTCAAAGATTAAGGGAATTGAAGCCGCCTGGTAGTAGTTGGAGGAAAAGACAGTATTGGCTTCACTGTTAATAAACCCATCAAGCTCCCGGAGTTCAGCTGTTCGGGGCTGAAGGCGGCGAGTACTCTATCGACGTGAATGTCAAAGACACCACGGATGGCTCTTCTGTAATAAAACAATCAGGATCATACTCCTGCACAAAACTCGAGACTGATTGCTATTATGGCTTTGATGTATTGTTTGATAATCCAGTTTGTTTAGTAGAAAGTAGGGTGTACGAGATAGAGGCATTTATGGATGGTCCGACATCATGGCACGGAGCAGTAGGACAAACTGATGTTGAGTGCAAAGGGGTGAAATTCACGTTTATTCACGCAAAGTCTAGCTCCAATAGAACCTCTGTAACAAGCGGCCAACTTCCGGTTTTTGTTTTCGGCAAAGTTTTGTAGTTCAATCAGCCTTCCAGAATTCTTTTAAAATTGGTTACCTTTCGACGAAGCTCCCCAGACTATTGCAAAATATCTGGGCATTCCTTTGTTAGCTCGAGCTAGTTGTCTTAGGCCGGGCCCAAAGACGCTGTCATCGGAGACACTTTACTTCATTACTGATTTACGGCTGTTTTGATTCAGCAACGAAATTTTCGTTAATTCAAAGAATTTGCACAACTTGAGGCAACTATACTGAACAGGTATGGGACACGTACATTTGTGCAAGCATGGTCAGATGCGTGTTTGCCTTTTTAAAGTAATTATGCAGATATTAACTTTACAAATGATCATGAACGTACAAGATTAAGATAAACAAGCAAAATTTTTAAATACAAATTTTAAATCGTGAATGTACACATACCTACAACTTTTACTGATCAAAAGCGGGAGAGGTTTATTCCTAGAATGGGAGAGCCAGGATTTTTAAAGACGACCCAAAGACGTCCGAAGATTGCCGTGGACGTTCCGAAGACGTTCCGAGCATTTCACTATCCGAGTTCCAGGCCGTTGCTAGTGCTTTTTCCTTCCACAGTTGACTGGTAAACTCTCTTTAAATGGACTGGGTTTTTTTTTTTCTCAGTTCGAGTTCAGATATATTTTTCAAAAATGGGTTAGAACGCTGTAATGTCAACCAAATAGGACTGCGGACTTAAAGATGATTTGCAGTCCGTACTGCGCACTCTTGAGAGTTTGCTTACGTTTTTTGTTTTGTTTCATGTCGGACAGCATAAAATGTAAACATTTCGCAACTACTTACATGAAGTAAAACAACCGCCATTATGGATGCGAAGCGGTCAAAGCTTTATACTTCGTTCTTTCTCAAATCATTTGATGAAACAACTTCGCAGCTGTAAAAATTGATGAAGCAGCTGGAAAAAGAATGAAAGGCCTCAAAGATAAGGTATATGGTTCGTAACGAATAACATCGATTCACATTCCATCGAGAGAGATTTATAATGTTTATAAACATTAGGGTGCTGAGACTACGCAGTACGGACTGGAAATCATCTTTAATTACTTGATTGTACCTCTGTTTGAGTTATAAAAAGCTCGCAATTGATCGTATCAGTAGGAGCTCTAACAAAGCACCTCGATGGAATGATAGTTGTTTAAATTGCTTTTAGCTGAGCAATTACTCGATGTAAATAACAAAAAACTTTCGAACTTGAAAACAACACAACGATCTTAACTCATTTTATGGTTTTAGGTGTTGATTAGTTGGGTCACGTGACCCGTTATCAATTTTAATTGGTTTAAAAAGAAATTTAAAAACGGGTGGCGAGACGGCCATATAAAGGATTTGAACACAAACGTTCGAGTAATTGTCTGGTTGTCCGTTATATACGATTCTGCACGGAATAGTTGACAGTGATGTATCTGTAAAAGATAAATAGTAAAACAAGTCATGTAACCTATTTTGTCTCTAACATATTTGTCAAGAGAATTAAAAATTTGACACCACATCGCAACGCAACGCACCGCAACGCAAAGCAACGCAACACTTATCCCTGCTGCGATCACGACCTGTTCTAACTATTAAATAGTTAAGTAAAAGCTGCCAGACTGCGTGTTTACTTCAACTTTACCTGGGAAGAATTTGGTATGACATATCGTTGCAATGCAATCGCATGTAGAGCTTGATGGTTCCTTAGAATTAAACTTTTGTGCTTTTATTTTACATTTTTAGGACTATTTAGCATCGTTTGTAAGTTGATTTAAATACGCTTCGAGCCATTTTGGGCATTTTTTGTCGTTTTTCGAATTAAACTCACGAAATATTGCTTGAAATCATGACGTAATTACCAGATGATTTAAGGTCATATGTTGCTAAAAAGGAAAAACTCTTTTGGACGAACTACACACACGGATGGAGTAGATTCCGCTCCGTACCCCCCCCCCT